TACTTGGGTACTGCTCTCATATGGTGCTTCGGCTTATATGGGGGTGGGGAGACGACTCTTTCCCCGATGTGGGACAGAGGTAAAGGCTACTGCGGGGGTTTGTCCCGCAGGTCAGCCGAAATCCTTTGGTGGAGAGCGGGATATCCCGGTAATGGGAGGAATGCTCTTGGAAGACAGGGGTCCGGTAATGGACCAGGGTCTTCACAAATAGTATATTTTTTTTTCTTTTTGCCTTGTCAGTTGAAGGATGAGAGTTATTATTTTATTTGTTAAACATCAAACACACATGACAATGGTCATCTTAATTTTATTTCGACCAAAGTATTACATAAACAAAAGAAAGTAGAAGAGTTTTAAAAATCTTAAAGTTTAGCATTGATTTGACCTCATTATTATGAAATTCATGGTACGCCATCACTGAGTGAAAGTGGCATAGGAAAAACAGGGTTGACAACTGTCATGATTCTCTCTATGGTCCAAGGTCCACACAACCCAAATGACTTTTAGAAACTAAGCTTGTGTGTGGTATATGTTGGGAGTCACACTTCCATACTTAGCTCCTATGTGGAATGCCTCTCACCCCACCACCAAAGAGAAAAATGACAATGCAAATATATCTTGAATTACACAAAGGAGAAACATGTCCTAATTTGATCAAGGTGACAAGAAAATAGGTAAATACAAGTTTACGACAACTAATTCCTATCACTATAAGTCATTTCGTCATTTACAATTGTTGTACATTGTTGTTGTGCTCAAAATTCTCTTGAAAAGAGTAAATTTGCCCATTCTTCTTAACTAACGAAAATTTAAGAGAAATTTGTGTAGTCATTTTCCTTTTCTTAAATCAAGTTGTGCCCTCTATTTTTGACATCTCAATTTTTGGGATAAACTTATGTTTTGTGTTTACCTTGACTTCTTGTAGCAATAATTGGAAGCTATTATGTAGTGGACGTCAAGATTGAGCAAGCAACCCTTATTTTTGGGCCTTGAGAGATATAATTTCTTACTGTTTTCTAAGAAAGCTTATTTTAAATTATTTACCCCTCAAACTTCAACCTATCAAGGATTGTATGACTTTCCAAATACAAGCCAATGTAACACCAATTTGTCATATGAATCAACGGGTGATTTCTAGGCATCTTGAAGAACAGTTGGAATTTGATTACTTTAAAAAATTCTAATCAATAACTTGTTTAGCATAAAAATAATAAAAAAAATAGTGTTATAATTATCACATATTTGAATTAGAACCAAACATTTTAGCCGGGATTTTTGTTTAACATTTTGTTTGGTCATGAGCTTCAGTTGACATTCACCAACATGATTGTTGTATATAATTTAAAGAAGGTAACTTAAACAGTTTTCTCAAAGTCGTGTATATGTGGAGTGTTTCATTCCACGACTCAAGTTGGATTTTGCTCTTCATCAACCAGTTTGTAGGTTGGACTAAAAATCCGATTGGTCTTAACCTGTCCAAATGTTTCAAGAATTTTAGGTTCATGCATCATTATTTATTCGTCATAATATGAAATGTTAGCCATGATTATTTTAATTTGTGTCGTAATAATCAATTACTTGTATTTGGTCTGACCTCCACTATGCAAGTGAGCCATCAATTTACAAATCTTCAATCAAATATAGGTTTTGATATATGTAAGGCGCTTAAAAACATAAAATTACAGATTATTATACTTAAAATGATTCAAGTGTAATACACATAAGCATTGATGCCAACGGTTGGGAGGTGTTACTAAAAGAAACCTGATGCCCCTAAACCCCATTTTGTTATTGAAATTTTTGACTGTGGGGTATTGCTTGTATGGGCCCTTTTGCCCCATTTTTGGATATCTTTATATATTGGTTGCTATGGATTATGTTTCTAAATGGGTAGAGGTTATTCCATGCCACAATAATTGTCATCACACTGTGGTGAAATTTTTAAAAGAAAATATCTTGTCACGATTTGGAATACCTCAAGCCATTATTAGTAATGGGTATTTTACAAACTTGATGAGAAAATATTTTATAAACCACAATGTTGCAACCCCTTACCATCCATGGACAATTAGTCAAGAAAAATTGGTCAATAGGGAGATAAAATAGATTTTGGAAAAGACGGTGAACCCCGAACACAAGAATTGGTTTTTAAGACTAAATGATGCGTTGTGGGCTTACAAAACAACTTTTAAAACCATTTTGGGCATGTCTCCTTATAGACTTGTTTATGGTAAGCCATGTCATTTGTCTGTTGCGCTTGAACATAGAGTATACTAGACAATCAAGACAATGAACTTTGATTTGGAAAGAGTAGGGGTGTCTATGAAACTTCAAATTTAGCAAAATTGAGGAATGAGGCATATGATAATGCTAAAATTGTAAAATCCAAAATGAAAATTTTTGATGACAAGAACATTTTTGCAAAAGACATTTGAGCCTTCTCAAATAATCTTGCTTTACAATTTAAGANAAAAAAAATAGTGTTATAATTATCACATATTTGAATTAGAACCAAACATTTTAGCCGGGATTTTTGTTTAACATTTTGTTTGGTCATGAGCTTCAGTTGACATTCACCAACATGATTGTTGGATATAATTTAAAGAAGGTAACTTAAACAGTTTTCTCAAAGTCGTGTATATGTGGAGTGTTTCATTCCACGACTCAAGTTGGATTTTGCTCTTCATCAACCAGTTTGTAGGTTGGACTAAAAATCCGATTGGTCTTAACCTGTCCAAATGTTTCAAGAATTTTAGGTTCATGCATCATTGTTTATTCGTCATAATATGAAATGTTAGCCATGATTATTTTAATTTGTGTCGTAATAATCAATTACTTGTATTTGGTCTGACCTCCACTATGCAAGTGAGCCATCAATTTACAAATCTTCAATCAAATATAGGTTTTGATATATGTAAGGCGCTTAAAAACATAAAATTACAGATTATTATACTTAAAATGATTCAAGTGTAATACACATAAGCATTGATGCCAACGGTTGGGAGGTGTTACTAAAAGAAACCTGATGCCCCTAAACCCCATTTTGTTATTGAAATTTTTGACTGTGGGGTATTGCTTGTATGGGCCCTTTTGCCCCATTTTTGGATATCTTTATATATTGGTTGCTATGGATTATGTTTCTAAATGGGTAGAGGTTATTCCATGCCACAATAATTGTCATCACACTGTGGTGAAATTTTTAAAAGAAAATATCTTGTCACGATTTGGAATACCTCAAGCCATTATTAGTAATGGGTATTTTACAAACTTGATGAGAAAATATTTTATAAACCACAATGTTGCAACCCCTTACCATCCATGGACAATTAGTCAAGAAAAATTGGTCAATAGGGAGATAAAATAGATTTTGGAAAAGACGGTGAACCCCGAACACAAGAATTGGTTTTTAAGAGTAAATGATGCGTTGTGGGCTTACAAAACAACTTTTAAAACCATTTTGGGCATGTCTCCTTATAGACTTGTTTATGGTAAGCCATGTCATTTGTCTGTTGCGCTTGAACATAGAGTATACTAGACAATCAAGACAATGAACTTTGATTTGGAAAGAGTAGGGGTGTCTATGAAACTTCAAATTTAGCAAAATTGAGGAATGAGGCATATGATAATGCTAAAATTGTAAAATCCAAAATGAAAATTTTTCATGACAAGAACATTTTTGCAAAAGACATTTGAGCCTTCTCAAATAATCTTGCTTTACAATTTAAGACTCCACCTATTTCTTGGTAATTTAAGGTCAAGGGGGACAAGACCTTGAATTGTGAAGTGTTTGGACACGAAGTAGTAGAGATTGAAAATCCTTCAATTGGTAATGTTGTTAAAGAAATGGCAAACGTCTAAAACCATTTTATGAAGAGTTTGTTGAGAATGTGGAATCCATAGATCTAATAGATCCACAATATCTTGAATTAATTTTTCATTTTTTATGTTTTGTACATAATGTTTATCGTTAACTAATATCATGTATTTTGTTTGTAGGATTTCGGTCAATGTGCAGTTGTTCCTTATCTTTCAACCTTAAATTCATTTTGCATTTATTGGTAAAATTAAAATATTGAGGACAATGTTGAGTTAACGTAATTTTTTTTTTAAAAAAAAGATTTTTTTTCTTTTTGGAAAATAACAGCATTCAAATGCCATGAGAAGGCTATGAAACGCTACAGGCAGATGGTGAAGGGCAGAATTAGGAGGTAAAATCGTTCGAATGCCTACCCTTAGCGTTAGAGCACCCTGTCGTAGATTTAAAAACAATAGCCTCTTCAGTTTCATGAAATTCAGCTTCCTCTCCCTCAAACTCAAACCCTAGCCTACCCAAACACCCCTTTCGCCTTAGAAAGCCAAAACCCAGTGATTAAAACCTGTTTCTATGCCATAAAGCTCAAAACCCAAGATCTCTAACACAATTTCACATGTTGAATTCTTTGATTTTCCATAGATTTTTCCAATGGTGAGAAAACATGTTGCTCAAAGGTCAAGCCAAAGGAGGGGGTCTCAACAACCACCCAAAGGGGCACAAGACTAAGAAGTCCGAGGCAACCGCCAATTTGAAGATGGAATCTTTCAAGACCACATGCAAAGGGAAAGTTATTATCTCCATTTCTCTTCTAAATCAATTGTTTGTGAAAGAGGCATTATGTATGACGATTTTGAACATTTGGTCATTAGAGATGTTGAGAAATCAAGGATGGAATTTACTACCTTTGTGAGAGGCCGCGAGTTTATTGTTAATCCTAGGGCAATTTTTGATATGATTAAACCCATGCCTAAGATAGTTGACGCAATGTACCCTCATAATCCCCCAATTGACTACGATTCAATAGGTGGGGTTTTAACTCAAAACCCTGAATTTATATGGGGAGTAGAGGGCAAATGCATCAAGTAGGGTGACCTCACTGAGAAGCATATAATTCTCGATTTGATTGTGGTGGCAAATTTAATGCCTTAAAGCCAAAAAGAATCAAATTTATATGGAACGTGATGTGCTTTTACATGCTTTTGGTGAGGGGCATATGACTAATTTGTCCAATTTTATTTTTGATCAAATTATGCTTGTTGTAAAGAACAAGCGGGCCACCCCGCTCTTTGGGATTCTTATCACCGAGTTGTGTACACAGAATGGTGTTGTGATTGATCCGAGTCAGAAGGTTGTGGAGACACTAGCCCAATATGATAAGGCTAAACTCCATAGCAGTACAAGGCATGTTGCAGGATGAGGTGGAGGAGGAGCTGAATAGGAAAGAAACGCACCAGGGGATGTGTTTGGTGATGAGGATGCAATTAGGCAAGTTGAGGATGATGCACATAATGAAGAACAAACTACATGGGAACAAGCACCAACTGGGTCAGGGTCTGATAGGGATGTATTACTGGGACTCCAAGTACAAATGAATGAGTTTGGGGCAAGAATGGATCGCCTCAAGGATAATCAACTAGAGATCCTACGTCTTTTGAGACAAGGACGTGGTGCTGGACCTTCATCTTCCACAGAGTGATTGTTTCTTCATGAGGGAAGTTTTGCATCATTCTACCACTTTTGTGGTTATGCTAGCTCTTTTGGCACTCTGACTTGTTATCTTATATTAATTTATGGGTTTTAGTTGAACTTTGTATCAGTATTTGCATAGTATAGTTAGTTTTAACTGTTGAACTAACGTTTGGATGTTTCCTTGGGATTTTGCATAAAATTAGTGAGTCGTGTCTTACAGTTTATGCTTTATGTTTTTATAGTTTATGTTGGATTTATGTTTGTTTGCTTTGAACTTGTGTTGGATTCATTGTAAAGTTTAAATAATTCAGGGTTTGTTTGGTTATAAATATCAGAACTCCATGTATAATAGGGATAATCATGGAATTTTTGTTAAACATGTGATTATTATGATAGTTGTCTTATTTTGAAAGGCAAGTTCATAGGAATTTGTTCTAAAATTGAGTATCATCTTCATCTTATTGTTTGAAACTTAACATTTTTGGATAATATTCTTCCTTAAAAGCTTGAAGTGCATAGTGGAGATGAATAAAGTTACCCTGTTGAGCTTTTGCGCCATTCTTCTTTGTAGTATTAACCTACATTTACTCAAGTAAGAAGTTTCATTCCGTAAAAGTTCATTGAATAATCTCATTTTCATTGTTTTGATTAGTACAAGTAAAGAAGTGGATTGTTAAGTCCTTTGAACAACCAATAAGGGAAATACACTTGCACATTTTCTATGTAATGATTATAAGCCATCTTTGAATTTTCCTTGAGCCTTAGAGCATTCTTTCCAAGACTTTTATCCCTAGAAACTACTTTTGAGCCTAAAAAGTAAATTCATTTTGTAGCAGAAATCATAACCAAGCCAGGTATAACTTTATATATTTCTTTACATTGGTTAACCTGAATTTTTTATGGAGTTTCTATCAAAGGGACGAAGGATATTGGAATAAAAAAATTGAAAAAAAAAAGAAAGAAAATTTGTGTAAAAAGAAAAGAAAAAAAAAAGGGAAGAAGAAAATGTGCATGATTGCAAATTGAAAGCCAAAGGCTAAGAAAACAAAAAGAGAAATTCATGAAGGGGATGGCGTTATCAAGTTTTATCGAAAAGGGAAGAGGAACATTTTCAAGACATGACATTTTCGGGTTAACTTCTTTTAAATCTCTTTTACCCTTCATTTCTATACCCTTCACCCAATGCCACAATACAACCTAATGGAAGTCCTATTTGATCTTAGGTAATGTGCATGTGTATGGAACTATATTATGATAAATGGACATGACATCGACATTGCTTTTAACTTGTACTAATATCCTTTCATGAGATTATGTCAATATTAGTTTCTTTAAATTTCCTTCCTTTGAACTTTTCCATATGTGAATAATAATTTGCTTTGAAATACATGATTCATATCACTTATGGATACCTGAGTGTAAAGTATAACTGGAGTGTTTCTATTGTGAGTGTTACACCCAAGAGGGGTTTGGCATTGAAGCTAATTATGAATAGATCAAAAGAAAAGGATGTTATTCACATTTTAGAAGTGGTATGGTCAATGCACTTATAGAGTTTTGAATAATAATATGATAGGTGAATATTCTTGTTTAGCATAGAGACTTATGAATGAGTTAATGGTGATCTATTCAAGTGTATGGATAGATATCATTATAACCTCATATTTTTAAACACAACAGATTATCTCAATTTATGATGGTTTTTGAAGTTTGAAGTTTGTAGGTGTAAAATTCGGGTAAATTTAAACATTTATGAAAAAGGGCAAAATGATAATTTTGCCACTACAGTACAGGTGNACAACAGATTATCTCAATTTATGATGGTTTTTGAAGTTTGAAGTTTGTAGGTGTAAAACTCGGGTAAATTTAAACATTTATGAAAAAGGGCAAAATGATAATTTTGCCACTACAGTACAGGTGGTAAACCTAAATTTTTTTAGAACTCGGATGACAAAACGGACCTCACCGTTGCATTTGTTTCACGAAATATAACTACCCTGTCAATTTTTGTCGAATTCTGAGATAGTCAAATTTTTTTACATTTTACGAGGCAGTCGAGTCTCAGGTGATNATTTTTTTAGAACTCGGATGACAAAACGGACCTCACCGTTGCATTTGTTTCACGAAATATAACTACCCTGTCAATTTTTGTCGAATTTCGAGATAATCAAATTTTTTCACATTTTACGAGGCAGTCGAGTCTCAGGTGACCCAAAAATAGAATTTTTAATAAAATTTTGAAAGTTAAAAAATAATTTAAGGCAAATTAAAATAAAAATATTTTCAACTTGAACCGGAGCGAAATTTAATCGTTTCAGGGCGAAAATGGACTCGAAAAAAATAGGGTCGTGTGGTGCATTGTAAGCCAAATTCTAAGGGTATAAATAGAGGAAAAATTTTGATTTCTCCCTCATTGGTGTTCAATCGTTACCCATTNAATTAAAATAAAAATATTTTCAACTTGAACCGGAGCGAAATTTAATCGTTTCAGGGCAAAAATGAACTCAAAAAAAATAGGGTCGTGTGGTGCGTTGTAAGCCAAATTCTAAGGGTATAAATAGAGGAAAAATTTTGATTTCTCCCTCATTGGTGTTCAATCGTTACCCGTTAGNTCGTTTCAGGGCGAAAATGGACTCGAAAAAAATAGGGTCGTGTGGTGCATTGTAAGCCAAATTCTAAGGGTATAAATAGAGGAAAAATTTTGATTTCTCCCTCATTGGTGTTCAATCGTTACCCATTAGAGAGAGAGAGAGAAGAAAAGGGAGAAACTCTATCTTCTCTCTACGATCTACGGATCTTGGGTGCTCGAATCCACTCAGGCCAAGAAGGAAAGTTTTTCCTTGTGTCATGGGGCTACGCAACCAAACCAAAAGCAAAGGCTTTCATCAAAAGTCAGAAAGACGAGATTTCGGGTGAGCTTGGATTAGAGCTCGGANTCAGGCCAAGAAGGAAAGTTTTTCCTTGTGTCATGGGGCTACGCAACCAAACCAAAAACGAAGGCTTTCATCAAAAGTCAGAAAGACGAGATTTCGGGTGAGCTTGGATTAGAGCTCGGGCTAAGTTCTTGGAGCTTTCCAACGTATTTTTACACTTCAAGAGGTAGGATTCCTTCCTACTTGGGTTTATTTTACAACCTAAGGTGTGAAATTGAAATGGGTAGGTTGATAGAGATATATATCACTTGCCTTTGTTTGTGAAATTGATGAAATGGGTAGGTTGGTAGATATATATATTCACTAACCTATGTTTGTGAAATTGAAACATATGTTTGTGAAATTGATAAAAGGGGTATAGAAATGGTTTAAAATAAATTCCTAGCATGGAATTGGTATGTGGTAATTACTTGTGTAATTTCATAGAAATTGGTGTTATGTGGGCATGCTATGTGTTTATATTATGCCTTTGTGAATAAAGTGTTTTATTTGCATATATTATATAATAATATACTTGTGATGTATTGTTGGATATGAAAATGTTGATGTATGATTATAGATATATCGACATTGTGATGGAATTGCTAATTATATGCTTTGGACATGAATTGTCATGGAATATGTATAAATGTGATAAAATTTGCTCATATGACATTCATTACATATGGGGCATGACATCAATATAACAATAGTGCATTACATTGCATTTTCACGGAGACATCGCATCCATGGGCATGAAATATGGGTGTGGGTATGGGTGTGTGCATGGTTTGATCAAGTACCAACCTTACTGGTTGATGGATGGGCTCGATAAAGTTGGATTGAAAATCCAACTGAGTCACACGGTTGCATGAAAATTGGGTCGGGGTTAGCCAGAAGGGCTAAACAATCTCTCAGGTGAGAGGCCCGGTGATCAGATACGCACTCTGTTGGTATAAGAGTCCATAAAGGGGGTCGATGTACGCAAAACCGTTGGTAGAAGTCCATGAATTCCGTGTCGGTGGGTGCCGCTGGTGTAAGTCCATAAATACCCAACCCAAGAAAGACCCAAAAATTTTTAAATAGTCATTGGGTGTGTAATGCCAATGGCGGAGCTTGGAAAGCTAATTTTTATACTCATGGTATTGCAAGGGAGAAAAAGAGCCAGGGAGGGCTCGGGTTAAGTTGCATGAGTGGGTATCACCTCATATCATGGCATGACATGTTAGAATCCAACTTAGACTTGCTAAATCTTGGTTGGAATGATTGTTACTTGTTTATATGTTGCATGTGAGTATTTCATATGCATCTAAGTTGGGGTGCAGCCTCTGTAAGAAATACTCTATTGAGCGTGACTCACTCTTTATGGGAAAAATATTTCAGGTATGGGTGGTACGTTGGCAGAAGGCTCTTACTCGGGGCCTCAAGTATGAAGAAAGTCGGAATGTGGCTCTATTTTGAGTTTTTGTACAAGTATTTTGAAAACTTAGTTTTGATATGTAAATTTATGGAAATGAATGTAATATAATGTGTATGGACCTTGTATTAAATGAAATCTGCATTTTGCATGTGTTGGATGGATGTCATATGGTTTGAAATGAATTTGAAATGAAAAATAGGTGAAATAGGCAAAACTGGACAAAGCATACTGGTACAACTTTGTCCAGTAAGCAAACCCTACAGGTAGGAATTTTTCTAGTAAGTTCACCCTACCGGTATACCTTCCAAAAATGTGAAATTTTAAAATTGTTTTGCCATACTTTTAGACTATGAGTTCTTAGGTCTCAAAGATATAAATGAGCTAAAATGGAGTATGAAATGTGGTACATTGAACCACGATTTGATTAAATGGTAAAATGTATACAGATTACACATGTGAGTTATAATCTCGATTAAGAGGGATGTTATTGACATGACGTCGGGTTGTGCGATGATCACGGGTACTTTCGCGGGTTAACAGGTGGTCAATGGTTGAAAATGAACCCCCGATTTTAGGGGCGTCACAGCTTGGTATCAAAGCATAGGTATGCGATTTACATAGGGCTTGATGGGCATGAGTCTAGACCATTGCATTCATGGTGCACTACATGTTGTG